TGCCCTTTGCTGCTACATCTCCAGTCCACTGGAGATGAGGCCAGCAGGGATATTCTGCTAGAAGTAAATGACCCATCCCTCCAGTCACTCAGTTTGATTAGAAGCAAGGCTTCATTAGTTAGACATAGTGCAAGAGGGATGACAGCTAAGCCACAGGCTATGTATGCTCAAGCAGTACTGCTTTAGAGGGCAGACACAGAGTAGGAAGCACTGAAAGAGCCAAATCTGTGACTGAGGCATCATCTTCATTGATGAGCTGAACAGCAAAGCACGGCATGGCTGGTATGTGCCTGTGGAAAAGCAGCAGTAGCTTCAGGCTCGTGGCAATGGCCAGCCTGAAGCCTGAGCCCATAGCTGCCTGCAGCCTGTCTCCAGAGTGCTGTGGCCACTCCAGGCCTGGACATCCCTTCAGAAGAGCCTGCTACAGGCAGGTATGGGTGGGGAAACACTGAGATTCAGACCAGCCTTGCTCTCTGCTAGCAGCTGAGTGCTGGAGCCAAATGCATTCAGAAAAGGAGAGGAGAAAGAAGAGGATAATCAAGAATGTCTAGGAGCACAGCTGAGGGACTGCATGTCAGGGTAAAGAGAGGCAGAAAAGACATCTGCAGCTGGTTTAACAGATGTCACAACTTCCTGCAAACCCTGGGTTCTCCTACGCTGTTCTGGACCAGCCATCAGTTGGGGCTGCCTACAGTGCTAGAGTAGAGGAGCGTGCTGGGGAAGCCCTTGCACACACCCAGCTGGTGCAATAAGAACAGTTAATCCTACCGTTGTGCCTAGCAGGAGGAGCCCCACAGCAAAGTGTTCATGATCATGAATTAACCACAAAGGGGTTAATCTGGTAACAACCAGGACCAAACCCTATGGAAAAACAAAGCAAGTGCTTCCTAAATAGACAGGAGACAGGTTGTGGTGTGGCAGGAGAGATTTCTGCCTCAGAAAAATCAGCTCAAAGAGCTGCTAACGGGAGCAAGAGGCTAGTGCCAAGCTGAGGGCACAGACCTGCAAGAGATATGGCAAGCAGCAGAAGCAAATGAGTAGCAACTTCAGCAGTAAATCCTGGGAAGTGCTTGGAGAAGAGCTATGGACAGAGACAGCCCTGAAACCTGCAGTTTTGGTAGTCCACACCTGGTCAGTTCCCTCCACCCATCTCCAGACACAGGTGTGGCAGAGCAATGGTGCAGCTCAGCTGAAATGGAAAAAGCAAGCTCCAGGGATGGGCTTTCTCAGGTGACCAGCTTATGCAGAAGAGACATCAATGAGCTTGTCCAATAACTCCAATTTTGACTCTTGCCCTTTGTGAAAAACCCAGCTATAAAAGATGAACACAGAACTTACAGAAGCTCCTTAAATGGCAAGATGAAAACAGAAAACCCTCAATGGTCTTTACTGGCTCAGCTTTCTTAGACTCCTTTCCCTGGACAAAGTGCTAGGTGCTGGCAGCGCTTCCACTGAGCTCACTCCCACTTGTGGTCTGAGATCACTCCAAAGGAGCAGAGAGCAGCAGCCATATGCCCATTTAGGAAGAGGGGAGAAAGTGGAATGGATTCTGACATCTGCCTCAAGACAGCATAGATCTTGTCAATCAAGTCTATAGAAGGCTAGATAAAAATATCGGCCACTGCAGGGCTTCAGCAACTCAACTGCTTCCAGAAGTGACAGAAGAAAGTCTAATCATACAGTAATTCCAAGAAAGCATCTGACAATGCACTGCGAGGTGGCCTTCAGACCACTACAGAACATGGAAACTGAACTTCCTGCTCTCCTAGGGCCCTAGATGGGTTTGAGCAGGGAGGGAAACTATCCCATCTGCCCAGGTGAGACTGGAGCAGCAGGATGGTGTGGGATGCAGTCGCTGCTGTGTTCTAGGTGACAGAAACTGAAGCCAGACACCAATGGAACGTTTGGATGTCACAGAGACTGTTGTGAAGAGCTGCTGTGCTCAGTATCCAAAGAAAACAGGCACCAGGTCACTGAATGACAAATACATGTCTTTAAAGAAATCAGGATCACCTTGACCTAGAGATTTTGTCACTAAGGATTCAGCTGTGGGCAAACTTGCCTTGACGCTGTGGGTGGAAGACTCACAGCAAGACAGAGACACTGCTCTGGAGAAAGCAGAGAGCAGAGCAGGAAAGGTCCCCGCTTAGGGTATCAGATCCCACCCTTAATGTAACACAGGTCCCTTTCCATCTTTCCAGGGAGCTCCAGCTGTGTTGAAACACTCCACAGGGTCTCACCTCTTGCTCTTCACTGGGCAGGGTGCAGAGACCCTGGGACACAGCAAGCCCAGGCCAAGCCGCACTTTTTAAGCTGCATTTATCTCTGTGCAGGAGAGGGTGAGACAAGGTAAAGCTGGGTACAGGAAAGAAGCTAGGGGCAGGTACTCCCACCTCCACAGCAGCAACAGCTCCCGCCAGAGGCGTGCCTCCAAGGGCCTGTACAGCCAGTAAGCAACTTGCTGGGGCTGGAAGCCCAGAGGATGCTCACCTGAGGGCAATTGTCACAGGAGAACAACACAACCAGTACCTGCTGTCAGTCTAGGCCCCTCTGGGCCTCGTTTCTTGATTCCTGTGTGGGAGCCAGGCAGGTGGAGATTAGTCTAGCAGCCCATCAGCACCCATCCTGAACAGGATAGGGAGAATGGATCAAAACCTGTGAGATATTGGGGAACCCCGGAAGCTGCTGCAAAGCTAATATGTAAGACCTTACAGAGACATTACAGCAGTGCAAGATGATGAAACAAGGAAGATGTGACAATTCAATAAATATAAGCTTTTATTACAATAGAAAATAGTAAAACTCATGTTAAAATAGACTCTTGCTTTTGGACCGCTCAGAAAGCCTAAGCTTCACTTTTATTTGCCAGTGCCCACCAGGGTCCTGACCCCTAAGTGATGAGCAACATATTTCTGTGGACACATTTCTGTGGTAGGAGGCTTACAGCTCCTCCCTCCCCAGTGACAGTGAAAAGACTACAGCAGCAGACTGAGCCCTGGCCCACCGGGCAGGCAGCTGAGGGCTCTCTGTGGGCTTGAGTACAACATGCCTCATCCCCTTGTGCAGTCAGGCTCCTGGAAGCTGTGGACAAGAGGCAGGGTGAGGAAAAGGTAAATAATAATAAAAAAAATCAGCAGCACATAATGGCAGCTGTTCTGAGACAGCTAGGAAGGCAGCAAATACACCTGCTAGAAAGACCACAGGACCAAACTGCCTCTGTCCTGCTGTTTGCCTAGGACCACTGTGTGACTCGATGAACATGCTCTGGCCTGGCTCCCCTCTTCCTTCAGTGACATTTCATATGACCCTGAAGGAGACTAGCAGACACTGCAAAGTTAAAACTCTGAGTAGCTTATGCAGTATCACAAAGAACACCCTCCACCTCCTCCTTCCATGGCCAGCCCAGTGCAAGTGAGTGACTGTGCAGTCTGGACCCTCGTGTGCTCCCCTCCTCCTCACCAAAAAGGGCCAGGGGCAAGAGCAGAGTAGAAAGCAGAGGCCACAGGACAGCAAGGTCAGATGGGAGTGGGAGACATTTGTGCACCGCTTCCAGCACAGCAGTAGCCTTGGCTCCAAGTCACGCCTGGCTACAGCCAGCAGGCTCACTCCAGTCCCTCATACACAGCCCTCCGCAGCTCAATCGAGAACATCTCCTCCCAGGGCTTGCGGATCCACTCCACCAGCTCCACCAGGAGCTCGGGACACTCTGTACGGATGTGCCAAGTGCTCTCCACCTTCAGCACCTGGGAGGGAGGAAAGAGAGGGGGGCAGATGAGCAGGGCTTAGCCTGGAAGGTACTGATCAGCCCTGAGCAGATTCCCCAGCACAGCTGCCAGCTCCCCCCAGTTCCTAAGTGACATCCTCCTCCTCCCTCTCTGCTGCTCGCCGTGGAAGTGTCCCTGCATGACTTCTGTACAGCAGCAATGCGCTGTGCTACCCTGCCTCTGTGGTGCAAGGCCCTAGGTTAGGATGGGAGATGACAGCCTGAACAGGATCCGAGCACAATCCAGCCCCCAGCTTCTTTTGAGACCCACGACCACCTCCTGGTTACCTCATCATAAAGCATCAGCTTGATGTCACATGGACAGAGGCGATAGGTTATGACATTGCTAACGCTGCTGATCGGCTGCTTCTCCTTCAACTGGATGTTGCTCCTAGAAGGCATTTCTGCCTCATGGTCTTCATCGACGGAGGGCTGCACCTGCCACTGGTGATTCTCCTCCAGCAGAAACAGCATGCTTCGGGTGCTCAGCAGGGTCACAGGGAAAGCAGATGCCCCTAAAAGGATATGAAGGAATAGGAGAGACTTTGCTGAGAGCCTGAGTCACCACAGAACCAGCTTTGCTTTCCATTCCTCCCCTGGGGAAATCCTTTCCAGCAACAGTAACTGGGTGAACAGCCTTATCCAGCTTCCTGGCTGAAGAGGGGAAGCAGGGTAGCTAAATGTGGCTGGGCTTGACCAGCTTATCCAAACTCACTGCAGGACCATGCATATGGAAGACCATCGCCCAGCAAGCCCTGCCCAGCCTGTGTCCTCATGTGAGGCAGGAAAAGACATTCGAGTCCTTTCATCACTTAAACAACACTGTACTACTACTCAGTCAAAAGTTGGCAGCTCCAGCTAAAAGGTCGCCTTTTTTTGGTCTGAATTCATCTGGCTGCAAATATCTGATGGCTGGAACAGAAAGTACACATATAAAGTTTAATAAACCAAGTTGGGATGTGTCATAAGAATGGCACTGTGGCAGGAAGAAAAGCAGTTTTCATAAACTGTAAGGAGCACAAACATCATCCAGCTGATTTCAGCGGATGCAAACGAAAAGTGCTAGAACTTGGGAATAAGTCAGAGGCACAGAAATAGGGAACCACTGCCAGAACTTGCTGAGGTCACAGGGGATCACAAGCTGCTACAGCAACCTGTAGGTTTTCTCGGCACACCTCACTCTCAGGAGTTAATAAGAATATCAGAAATGGGATGTTTAATTACTCCTGTCTACTTGTCAATGAGGCCTCAGCTGGAACTGTGTCCACTTTTGGGCACCATAGTCTAGAAAATGATAGAATGGCTTAGGCTGGAAGGAACCCTAGAGATCATCTAACCCAACGTCCCTGACACAGGTAGGAATGCCTCTCAACTAGACTAGGTTGAAAAAAGGAGAAAACTCTAGGGTATAAACCCCACACTTTAAGTTCTTCTTCCCAGAGGCTATTTGTTCAGCTTGTAGAAACCAAGAAACATATTTCCCACAGATTCCTTCTGATTTCCATTCTCTCACACCTCCCCAGTGGCAAGCAAGGGTGCAAGAGCAATAACAAATTGGTCAGAATGCGATTAACAGCTAGGTTACTTTTTCCAGTGTCCCAAGCTAAGAAGACACTGGAATTGTTCACTGAAGACTCAAATCCAAGGTTTAGCACATCTAGCCCTCAGCAACCCCTGGAACCGAACCTGATGGGCTCCAGCAGGCTGCCTCCTGTCCTGTTGTCTTGGGTTCCAGACACCTGCTTCTGTGTTTGCAAACCAAGGAGCCTTCCAGCTGCTCACACAAACCAGCTGTGTGTATGACCCCTCAGCATTCCCTCAGCTCAAGGCTATGATCCAGCCTTTATCTAATCTCCAGCTTCCCAGAAACCATTCCAAGTTGTCACCAAACTTGTCGTGCAAGACCAACCGCCCCTAGAGCCTGGGCTTCCATGCAGAAAAGGGCTGGGAGACTCGCTGGATACACAGGAAGCAGCATGCTGCTATCCTCTGTATTTCAACACTAAAAAAAAAGAGCCCTCACCCATGTCCCCATGCCACCTCACTGCTGGACCAATGGCCCAGCTCTTTCCCACAGATTGTACACTAAAAACATGAGCATGCAAGCAGACAGCACAAGGAGTGGGACACCTGGTCACTGAGATCTCCTGTACCTTGCATCAGGTAGCCCAGGAGGTAGAAGAAACAAGTGTCATCTGCAGCTGCAGAAACTGTGGTCTTGGAGTCCAGCAGAGGCCTGAAGGAGATACAACAGTGGGGTGACCAAAGTAGCACTCCAGGTTAAAACACTAGTTTCCAGTCCAGGCTTGCTGTCAGCTAACTACTGTTAAGTGTCCTCTTGGAGAATGGAGGGACCCATCTCTTCCAGATGCTGTAAAATTCCTCTCTCATATCACTCTGCCTACCACCTTGCCAGCTGGGAACTAAAAGCTTCTTGCAAGGGAGGAGGCTGCCCTATGCCTCCCCCCTTTTCTTCCCTCCATTGTATTCTGCTGAGGCTGCTAACCTGAAACCCCAACCTCTCAGGGGCGGTTCTTACCATAGCCAATGTTGTGGATTCATTTCCACAGTGGAGATTTCCTTCACCTTACTCCTGTGCTTAGCAGGCAGTTCTTGCAGGAGATCTAAAGAGGGGGAGAAGGCAGACAGATTTTGTCGCAAGCCCAAGGGCAGTACACAACAGCTCAGGATAGTTCTCTAGTCTACAGAGAGGCACTGGAAGTTTTAACACCAGTGGGCTTCTCCTCCAACATTTTTCAGAGCTGGCAAGAAGTAAATTTCCAACATACATTCAAATACAGCTCTTCTTGTTGCTATCCAAGAGCAAATCTTCCAAAAGCCTCTCCCCATCCCAGCCCCTGTTACAGTTCTACACTTACATGTCAGGGTCTGCAGAAATTGGTCACAGCAGCTTTGGTTCCGGATGAGCAGATTGTAGGAGGCTTTTGGGTTCTCAAACTCCACTCGCAAACTCTGGTGGCAGAGCCCCACTTCCAGATGGGAAATATCAGACAGGTAGTGAGAGTCATTCTTCTTCAGCCAGTCTGCAGGTTGCCCCCTAATCACAGAGCAGAGTCCTCAGCTTCAGCAGGGTGCCCCATCTCCTTTCCCACATCAGATTACAGCAAGACATCTTGCCAGAAGAGCCTTTGCATGGTGCCACACCTCCAGGGTAAGGCTAGCACAGGCTGGCACTATATAGCACTCATAGCCTTGCTCCAGGGTCTCACTTGCCACTGTTCTCCTCACCTGATAGCCCCAGTGACTTCCAGCACATAAATCTTGAGATCAGAGGCAACCAGGATTGAGAGGAACTCTCCTTGTCGGCCAAACTTCACCATGACCACCTAGAGCACAGAGAAGGTGGGTCATAGCACTGGCTTGTCCCTTGCCAGCCCACCCATGGAAAGAACTGACTCAACCACACGTCTGCTCCCTTCACATCCCCCAGTCTCTGGGATGCCACCCCAGTGCAGAACTTGCAAAGTGACAAGAAAGACAGCAAAGGAACTGTAGGAGTGGTGCTGTGGGAGCTCACCTTGAGGAAGCACTGGAACTCCTCAGCATTCTCCTCGAAAACTTCCATATCCAGGTACAACTTCAGGCGATGATCCACAGAATGGAAGTCCCTTGTGTTCAGGATGCCATTTACAGCTAAGGAGAGCAAAGGGTAGGATTGACACTGCCCAGTGACCAAGGTGCTGCCCAAACATGCAGACTGGTGTCAGGGCTGCAGTTTCACCCCCTTTGCACTTCTGTTTCCATCAAGTCTCTCCTCAAGACAAAGGGCCAAAGACAGGGCTTTCCAGGCCGCAGGCCTCAATGTGGAGACACGAGGAGACTCAACCACTCCCAACACTTGCTTTTTCAGACATATGAAGCTTTGGTCTAACCCATCTTTAATCTCTGCTCAGCTGTTTAGTCACAGAAGGACATTGCTTTACTTCCAGATTTGTCAGGAGGGCAATTCTTTATCACAAAGCCAGAACGACATTTCTCATTTCAGCTGATGTCATCTCAGGTCAACTTTTTAAACTCCAACTTTGACTGTGGTGAGGCTAAAGGGGACTGAGGAAGACACCAATAAAATCGCTGAAGAACATAATTAGGTTTGTCATGCAACTGCATGACCAAATAATTTATACGCGATGCTGCCTGAGAGTACACACTTCCCAAAAGAACCTGGTCTCCACCAGAAACAATATACTAATCAACTTCTCCTCAGCATGAACTTTTTCATGGGCTCAGTTATACACTGGGACCTTGCAATTTGGCCCAAAAGAAGAGACTCTCACACTTCAAGTGTAGAAGAGTGAACATGGCAATCCTAAATACTGGTCCTAAACAAACTCCTCTTCAGAGGTACAGCATTCTTGAAAGGCTAGGGGAGATTTCTACAGATCAAGAAGCTGATTCCAGCTTCAGTAAATCCTAAATTGATGCCCAAGCAAAGGCAGTTTGCTACATCAGAAATCCAATGCCCTTCACAACAAGCATTTGTGGACCTCCTAGTAAATGCGATCTTGCATGACAGTTCTCACACAGCCAGCACAGAGTCTCTTCTGTTGGACAGGCTTTGTCATCTGAAGTTCACAAAGACCACTGACAAAAGCACAAGTAACTGTAGATCCACTAACCAGAGCCTCCTACAAACACAGCAGCTTCACACTGCAGTTAAGCCAGAGAATAAAGAGAGAAATTGTGAACAGTCTTCTCCAAAGGCTATTGGCAGCTCACTGGCAGCTCACTGGTGCCGCTGGAACCCAGTGTGTCTGCAACGGAGCAGTGCAGCTCTGAGAACAAAACCCTACCACTCGCAGTCTGAGCAGTACTAGGGATTAGGAGCTGACTCAGCTTTACCTAACTTCAGACATGAGGATTGCACAGGGAGGGGAATGAAAAACTGTTCACAAGAACCACGGTGAGTGCAGCTCACGCGTGATGACCCCTTCCCCATCAAAGAGGAGGCAGTGACTCCACGAGCAGCAGCAGTAAAGCTCAGCACCAAGCTGTGCACACGCCCCTAAAACCTGCAGAGCTCTTACTCACAGGGACTGAGATTCCACGTTTCCTCAGGCTCGGAGTTCAAAGAAAGCTGGGAAGGAGTGGGCCCACGAGAAACACTGTAACGGTAGCTCCCCATCAAGCTGCCCCCATTGGTGTCCGTGTGGCTGAGGGACAAGTACTGGCTCCTCAGGCTCAGCTCCTTCTTCCCACAGCCCCCATCCGACCTGCGGGAACGGAGAGTGCCGTCGTGCTCGCCACTCAGCGCCGGGGCCCTGGTGCTGCTGTCCACCTCTGGGCTGTCCCCCTCGCCGAGGTAGAACTGCCCACTCCCGCTGGCCAGGACAGGCGCTTCCTCTGGGCCCTCCTGCTGACTGCCTCCCTCCAGGACAGAGTCCGACAGGTCCTCACTCGTGCTATCGGGGCCAAGCGGCAAAGGTGTGCTGGAGTACACCTCTGAAGGCAGGATGACCACGTGGTCACTGGAACAGCTGGGACAGGCTATGGGCTCACCAGCTACTGCAGCATCTGTGGAAGATTTTGTCAGAGATAAAGAAAAACGGAACAGCTCTCCCCCAGCAAGATTTCACTTTTATTTTAACTCTGCAAACCACAAACCATCCCTTTCAAAGCAGACAATGATTAGTCTGACTCGAGCAGCTTGCTGACCAACTCTGTTCTGAGTCATGACCTACAAACCTCTCCTCACGAATCAATGAGAAATGCTGTATCAGTGCCAACATCCACCTGAAACAGCTCTGCTCAGATTTAGAGTGACCAGTGTGTGCTGTGGTTGCAACCAAAACTACATCAGGGCTTTATCTCATAACTTTACTTTGTGTCCACAAGTGCTCATATAGCCTCTGCAGCCAAGCTCATGACCAGTCATTTCAACCTTCCTTGGCCACCTCCATTCCCAGTTTTTTCCAAAAAAGCCACAAGCATGCCATGTCCCCTCTCCTTCTATTCCCATCCTTCCTGACTCCCACTCTTCCCATTCCTGATGCTTCACCCATATCATAGCAGACTTCCAGATACATCCTGGGACTCCCGCTACCCTGTCCAAGAGCAGAAAGTGCTGCAGCCAGGACGGCACCTCTGCCCTCACTGCAGTACTTCAATCCCAGCACACTTCATCAAATGGGCAGCATCTTCTGAGCTAAGGCTGGGCACTCCCCACTTCAGATATAAAGGCAGCTTTCAAAAACTCAGGAACCACAAGTTGCCTGTTCAGCACTAGCCATGTCTCAGCCAAAATACCACATCTAGTTTCAGCCACCCAGAGTTTTTTTTAGAGTACAAAGGAGACCAGCAAGAATAACTGCGCTGGACAAGATATGACTGACAACCAAATTATCTAGGAAGTTGAGCTTATTTAGTCTAGAGGACAGAAGACAGGACTGGTTGTGGGGGGAGAACATGGCCCTCAAGTACAACAAGGGATAAATCATTCTCTGTAAGGGGAAGCAAGGCTGGGCTTAAGATCACAGCCAGGGAGACTTCAGTAAAACAACCAGTACCCAAAACGATGTTTAACAGCCAGGGTTTTTCCTGAAATACTGGAGAAGATTCCCCAGAAGCCTCTGTTAGCAAAGGCCCTTTAGAACAAATTAATCTCTATAGCAGAACTGACTGCAGTTTCAACAAGATGAGAAGTTACATGACCTTTAATGCCTGTCCCAGACTTCACATTTCTGTGGACCATCTGCAGTTTCCAGCACCCCAATATTTTCCCAGACCCCAGGCCACCCACAACACAGGTGCCATTTGCTTAACCTTAAAACAGTGCCTTATTCCTGCTAGTGAAAAAGGCAAGTTCTCACTTCAGGTGAGAGCACATCCCACAACATGTTTTAATTCCAGTACAGCCAAGGTATCACCTTCTCCTATACATTCCATACTCTGCATCACAGCTGCCATTCTGGCAGTCCACCTGGGCATTAGCAAGCATCCTTTTTCTGGGCACTACATCCTACCTTGACCTGAGGCAGCTAGGGTCTCCAGGATTTTGGCATCTCCAGCATCTGAAGGATAGGAACCTTGGCACCAGGACTGTGAAAACTCTTGCTTGCATTTCAGGCACTGGAGCTTCATGGATCCCTTCTGCTGGTCCTGATTTCGCCGATTCTCCTCAACAGCTGGGGACAACACTTCAAGGACACACTAGAAGTAGCAGCACAGGGAAAAGAGTGCTAGGGGGTAGCTACAACTATCCTAACAAAAGCAAGCCCCTAGCATCAGCAAGTTTCCTCACATGCCTCATTACAGACAGCAAGGGGTGCCAGGCCATTTCCCAGCTAACAGAGTAGCACAGCCAGTCAGTGCAAGGCTTGCCAAGGGCACGGAGCTTCACTGCAGAAGACCAAGAGAACTTGGTTTTGCAGGTCTGTGACTTGTACTTACAAACTGACAGGAAACCTGTCTCCCTGGAACGCTGGTCTCAAAGGTCCTATCTATTTGTGCCTTCTCTGTAACAACTTAACTGTAAGACCTGAGCTGCTGTAGCATTGACAGTCTCACTGTCCAGGGGCAAAGTACAGATGAGTGCATCACTCAACACTCAGGAAACACTACGTTGCCCAAGCACAACAAGTATGGATCATTAACTTGACTAGTTTTTCTCCTCAAGAAGGAGAAAACTGCAAGGCATTCTCCTTAAGAGCACCCTTTATGCTCGAGGAGCTCCACTGCCCATGGCCATACTCACAGGGCCCTCCACAGGTTATCTGTGCAGCAGGAGTAATCCTGAGCTTACAAGCCAGACATGGGCTGCCACAGGGCAGCAGATGCAGCTGTGCTCTGGGAACAGCGGCCTGTGCTGCCTGGAAGAATTCAGTGTTTTCCAGTAAGAGCGTCCCCCTCCCCAGGCTTGCCCCCCCAGCCTCCCCCACCTGCAGACACCGCTCCGGGCAGTCGTCGAGCACCACGTATCTGCGCTTCTGCCGGTCCTTGCGAATGTAGCTGAAGTGCAACGTGAGCACGGGGAAAGCTCGCTCCAGCTCCTGCAGGAGACAGCAGACACCACGTCTAGGAAGAAGGTGCAGCATCCAGTACACAGAACACGTTTGTTTGCAAATGGCTGAAATAGGGCCATACAGGCACTGAGTTTAGTAAGCCCTGAGTAGCAGTCCATAGCTGATAGCATCTGGGAGCCTGATAAAATGGGCATAAATAAATAAATGAAAAACATAAGCTCGTAAGCGCTGAGGACAACAGTAAGTTTCAAGGCCCAGACCAAAGCATTTCAAACAAAAAACCTTTTCACAAAGGTATTTCAGAAGAACATCATGCCACAAACATTCAAGGTATAAGGGCAGGAAGAAAAAATGAATCAGAGTTTTGGGGGAAAACAGTATTAGAGAAGCCTGCGAAAATGTCCATGCACACGTTAAAATCCTACCACATGGAAAAAGATTTCCAAACTCCCTTTCAAAAGAACTACAAAAGCAAAATGGGGCTGGTAAGTCTAAAGCTCACACCTAGAGTGGATGGAAAACTGCCCACTGAGCTATCAGCAGCTTTCTAAACATCACGCTGGGCTCAGCGATGATGTCCAAGTCCAAGAAAGTGCAATCCACACACAGTCCTCCAAGCCCAGAGCGACACCCCAGAAAGCAAGGGATGGGAAGGAGGTCTCCATTTCATTTAAGCTCCCCTTGAGAGTCTCTTGTTCCTGCACTCTGGAACAAGTCCAGCCATCGTCTTTTTAACTCCAGCTTTGGAACAGAATTGGTGCTGGCTTCTGCCATGTTATCACAGGTACTCTAAGCAACACAGGTGCTCTTAGATACATGTGCAGAGTGGAAGAGCTCTTTGCAGGAGCTAGGAAAAGATCAGCAGGGTCCTCTAAGAGAAGCCCAAATCCAGAATGCTGTCCCACACAGGGAGTAAGATGCCAAAGGTTCACACTGAGGCATAACTCACCATCCTTCTCCAGTTCATCTCAGAGGTCTCCACCTTCTGCAGGCATTTCAGCTCCAGCTTGTGGAGGACTCTGGCAGCCTTCAGTTCCACCTCAATCACATGCTTAGCTGTGACTCGCAGGAAGATCCAGTCTGGCTCTGGGTCCCCTTCACCTTCTATTTGACTCACCAGCACTGGCTGGCAAAGGTCCACTGCCAAACGAGACACAGTACAGGTCAGTACAATTCTTAGAATTCCCACAGTACTAGGCAGTACAATAAAGCTTCAGGGGGATATCACATCTGATCCATCTATTCACAGAATCGTAGAATGTCTGGGCTGGAAG